CAGCACTTTTCTGAAGAGTTGGGAATTTTACTCTTCCTTTTTATGACACCAGAGCTAGACATTTCCCTCAAGTTAAAAAGCTCCTCTTTACCCATTGGCCCCAGACTTACTTCCGTGTGGCCACCTGGGGCAGCGATGAATAACAATCTCTTTACGGGAGCACATTACAAAGTGAATTCCGTTCCCAGAATGAGGATTTTGGAGTCGGAGCAGAGTTCCACTCCAGCGTTGCCACTTCTCAGCAGGCCAGTTACTGTACTGCTCTGACCTTCACTTTCCTCCTCTGAGAAGGGGGACAGTGATCCCCATCTCACAGGCTTCACAGGAGGGTTAGGGCTGTGGTGTGTGTGATGTATCTGCGGTGGACGTTTTACGTGGTTGCCTTCCTAGCATCCCATTCTGCCTTCCCACTCTTTCCTTTTGGGGTATCTGTGTAGCTGTAGGGACTCTGACTCCACCTAAGGGTGTGGCAAGGGAGCATATGACCATAGGCCTACCCACTGCAGTATATCTTAGGACCTTTGAAGAAAGTTCTGGAAAGAAGATGCTGCTTTTATGGGTGTTATTTCTGGGTGTGAGTGAGGTTGCACATAGCTCATGACATAGTGAGAATTGATGGTGTGTTGGTTTTTAGTAGCAAAATGTTTTTCTGCACCATTCACCCTCCCCGCCAGCTAACCTGCCAAGATCCCTCATAAGACGCTCACTGGAGGATGAGGCAGGGGGCATGCTGGATGTAGACACATATTAGTGCAAACTGCTCTAAATCTGTAGAGTTTTTTGAGGCTGCTAGCAAGCTGAGCACAGTGAGGCTGTGTTGGGATATTCCTGTTTCCCACAGGCCCCGAGTGTGTTTTTACCACTGCACGTGCCCACCACTGTGTTCCCTCTTCTGCCTCACTCGTGGGACTTCTGCTCACAATAATACCACCTGGGGTTCTTGCTGAAAGAGACTCCTCCAATCAATGTCAGCAGAAACGGGGTCCAGACTGGGCCGCCAAATTCAGGGGGCCAGGAAGCCACATCCCTAAGGGACACTTATGTGAGCTGTCATGTGTGTTGTCCTCTCTAGACTTCCATAAGTGAGGTCCTCTCCCTGGGCTGCCTTTCTCCCCATTAGCTGATGAATGTCCACTCTGAACCGGGCCCCACGCATCAGCTGCCCCCTGGCTAGGGAGAGCCATGCCTCCTGTGTTTCCACGGCCATCAGGGCAAACCTTCATCCTGGGCCCCTCATGCTGGATGGCCACAGTCTGCCTCCCCCGTGCTGTGCGCACTCCTGGAGGACGGCAGCCATCTTTCTATCCCCAGTGCCTGAAACAGTGGCCGCCAAGAGGAGGCATGTGTTGAGTGAAAATGAAACTGCCTTGAAATAGGAAGCAGGCATAGCTGGCATCACAGGAAAAAGAGACGGAAGGTGCCAGGTTTGCAAGTTGGGAGGTGCCCATTCTGTGCCAACAACAAAATCTCTTTCATAAAAAGTGCTGGCTTTATCCAGACCTGAATGCCCCTAGCTGCTCTGACCCCTGAGGTCTTCCATGGCTGGCCTGTGAGTGGCGGCTTGCTGGTTGGACTGTGGCTGCTGGAGACATTTCTGGCACGTGTGACCAGTGGGGACACTTATATTTCAGGTAGTTTCCCAGTAGTGGAAAACAAAGCCCACTTTTTAAATCCAAGAAGAAGAAAGGGAATTGACACGAGCCACGTACTGTGCTAGGCAGGTTATTAAATGTATCTCATTTCGCCCTCGTGACTATCTTTCTCTTTTTATCCCCTCTACTTCCCCTCTTCGGACTGAATATTTTTTTAGTCTTCACTTTATTTCCACCATTGACTAATTAGCTATGCCTCCGTTTTATTCTTTAGTGGCTGCTCAAGGATTTACATGTGCATATTTAATATGCATATTTAATTTACCAAGGTCAGTGTAGGTGTTCTAAGTTTAATTTACAGCTCAGGAAACTGGAATTCAGGGAAGTTAAATAAGTTTTGTGACTGTTCATTACATTGCCCCAAATAAGAAAATCGAATTTTTTTTCTTTTAGCTATACCTTCCTCCACCTTATCGGAGACTCATAGGTAGTCTGTTCTGGGTCAGAAACTCCCAAATTGTATGCTCAGGGTGTATCCAGGGAAGTATTAGGGTCTCATGGTGAAAAAAGGGCTTTCATGCTCAAACGTTTGAGAAACAGTGGGTAAAGGGGTTTCATGATCAAATGTTTGAGAAATCGTGGGTAAATGTATCAGACAGTTCTCTTTACTACAGGACTTCTCATAGCCTTTCCTAAGCTGCAATGTGTTATTAAAATTGGAGAATGGTGGTCGCCCTGTTACATTAACTTGATGTCAGTACCAGTTTTTCCAGGATATTTCTCTAAACCAATGTTTCTTAAAAAATACTTTGGAAAACGCTGCTGTAAGAGAAAGCTCATGTTTGCTGTTACCCTGTCCCTCTTTGGCAAGGAAGACTATCTTGTGAGATGACTAGAGCAGCAGTGGGTCCTGTCCTCTGAATGAGCCCTGATCCTCACCTGTCATGAAGCACTTGATGTCCTGAGAGTTGCTGATGGGGTTGTTGTTTTTGAACATGTAGAGATTAAAAGGCATGATGTTGCTGCTACTTAGGTGCTTCCACAGCTCGTGGTCTGGGCTGGTCCAGCGGCCAGCCAGCACGTCATAATCCCGCCGGCCCATGTGGATGAGCTTGGTGAGTGGATCGTAGAGGCCCCCGTGGTAGCCGATGATGATCTGGAAGTTGGGGTTGGTGTCCATGTAGATCTCCCCATAGGCCGTGTACAGAATCTGCTTGATCATGAGGCCTGTTCCACTGAAGACAGCGAGAGGGGTCCCGATGTTATCGCAAGCTATGTAGAACTCATCACCACTGCTCAGCTCCATGGCAAAGAGGTGCCCTTGCAGGTCGTAGTAGAGGGATGTGATCTCGGAGCTGGAGTGGTTGTAGAGGTGGGTGACCTTGGTGGGGTTGGTCAGGTCTGCATAAAAGAATTGCAGATGGTGGCTGTGGCTGCTCTTGCTGGACACCCGCCGCCCCAGGCCATCATAGCGGTACCTGACGCTCCAGCCTCCGGCCCGGTTGTACGCCTTGATGAGCAGGCCGGCCGAGTTGTACTCGAAGACGTCCCCGCCCCGCTGCCGCAGGAAGCCATCCTCGTCCATCTTGTACTGCACGTCGCCCAGCCTAGTGATGCGGTCCCGGAGGTCATACCTTAGTGGGGTAAGCCGTGCACTGTTCCCAGGGCTCAGTAAGTGCAGGTTTCCGTTGAGGTCATAGCTGTATCGCCAGAGTGGCTTGTCATTGATGGAGACCGTCTGCAGCTGGCCGTCAGCATCATACTCATAGGAGTAGCGGGTGGTATTGGCATACGGTCCCACCTTCAACTCCTTCTTTACCACTCGGCCCATGTTGTCATACTGGACGGTCATCCAGTACATGAGAGAACGGAAAATCTCATACTGCACTTCCTTCATCCGGCCATAGGCGTCAAAGTGTTTGGTGTGGGTCATGACTGCCGTCGTAATGATCTGGTTAATGTCATAGTAGATGACACCAAACTTCCCAAACTGCTCTGTCCTGCCTGACACGTCATCATAGCGATAGAGATCGATAGGCAGTGGGGTCTCATTGATCACAGCCTGCATGCTGGTTACCCGGAAGCTGTTGTCATAGTTATAGTCAAAACGGGCATTGACCATGCCTTCCTCGGTGAAGCGGAAGATCTGGCGGTCGATCAGGGGCCCGATTTGGCGGTAGCGGATGGTGCAGGTGAAGCCCTCGTTCTGTAGGTTGATGGTCTTCAGCATGCCTGCTGTCTCGTCGTAGGTGAAGCTCACCTTGGTTGTGTCATACAGCATCTCGGCCAGCTTCGACAGTTTGCCATACTTGTAGATGACCCTGCGGCCAGTGCCCAGGTAGAAGGTGTGGAGGAGGTGGCCATCCTCGGTGAAGTCCTGGATGACGGAGGCATTGCCCTCAGGTGGCTGGTAGATGTTCCTGTAGTAGCCAACGGACCGGATAGTCTCCAGGGTTTGCCGGGCCACGTTGGGCATCGTCACAGAGGAGAGGCGGTCATTCTTGTCGAACTCAAAGATATACTGCCTCTGGCTGTGGAGCAGCAGCACCATGGACTGGAGGGAAAGGGAAACAAAGGGGTGAGAGGAGGCTGGTGGGGAGGAAGGGGAAGTCTGTGTGCTTAACACTAGAGGAGGGGAATAAATGGCCAAAGAAACCAGCGGTTCTCCTAAGTTAGGCCCAAACCATAGCTTTCTAACCAATGTGCCCTAAGCTGCTGCAGTGAGGACACAACTGTGCTAATAAGGTAAGGACTTCTTGGGGCATGTGGATGGTTTAGTCAACTGGGTGTCCCACTCCTGGTTTCGGCTCAGGCCCTGATCTTGGGGCGGTGGGACTGAGCCCCGTCAGGCTCCGCACTTAGATTCTTTCTCCCTCTTCCTCTGTCCCTTCCCACTCACGTGTTCTCTCTCTCTCTCAAATAAATAAACAAAATCTTAAAAAAAAAAAGGCATTTCTTTCAGCCCTTGGGCCTGGCACTCAGGCCATCTGTCTTCCTGCGGTGGGCAGTCTCGTTGGTTTGCCCCTTTGTGTGGTACAAAAGTGATGATTTTAGTGGGTGCTGGTGTGTGAGGAAGTTCGGGAGTGCTGACAAGGAGCATGGCAGCAGACTCTCTCCTGGCTTCCTTGCTTCAGCTTCCTTCTCAAATCAATCTTCTTACTCAAGCAAGAATGATCTTCCTGAAACCCAGCCTGACGGTGTCTCCTGTCTGTTAAATAACTTCTGCTGACTCCACGTGGCCCACGGGGTAAGGACCGCACCTGAGAAGGGTGTTTCAGGCTCTGCGTGATTGTTTATACAGGAACAGGTCAGATGCTGACGGCGGGGTGGACTGTGACGGGAATGTGGGAAGCAGCTTCCTAACAATGGGCTTATTGCGTGGCCCCATGAAGGTTCCTTCCCCCTCTGGGTTGGGGTTGCCAGTATGTCAGATCACCTCTAGGGTCTCCCTTAGCACCACCACAGAACGCAGCTCTTGGAGATGCTCACCCAGCAACGGATGGAGAAGACGGAGCACAGACCAAGCGCGGTATGGGCCCCAGGCAGGTGGCCATGGGCAGGAAACAAAGTCAAGATGTGGGTACCAGAATGGGGGTCTGAGGCGCAGCTCTTTTTTGGGAAGAAGTCAGCAGGCAACAGACCTATCGGCTTCTCGGCAGCAAAGCTACCATTTTCTCCTGTTTGGGACCAGTTTTTGCTTTCAGAGCTTTCCTGATTCCTAGCCCCTGGGATGCAATAAATCCTGACCTGAAGCAGAAGGGATTTACTAAGTTATGCCCACCATTCAAAGCTCAGGATTAATTACCTCACTAGTGTTCTGCCCTGTTCTCTGTGACCAGATCCCACAATTGCTCCAGATCTGGGGGAAGAGCCTGCCTGGGTCTGCACCCTAAGTCCTGCTCTGTGACACCAGTTAGAGTTGGGCTTCTTCCCAGCTCTGGTCTATCACATGGGGCTTTCATCTCCTGCCCCCAAACTCCTACATGCCGCACCATCGCTACAATCTACCCAGATGCCTGTCAGGTGTCTGGTCCTCTGCAGCAGACTTTTTGGAACACTTCCTTTAGAAGATCACATGGGTCTAATCCATCCCACTGAAGGCAGCAGGCTGGGCCTGGCCATGGGTTGAGCCACAGTGGCTGGCCTTCTGTATGGTAAGGCCAGTGATGGGGAGATAGACACCTGCCTTCTCTAAGTACGTGTAGCTCCACGTCTTCCCATCAGCGAAGATCCTGGATGTGATGCGACCTGCCTGGTCATATTCCATCCTCTCCGACATGATGCCTCTTTGGACACCAGCGATATGGCCCCCAGGGGAGTAGGTCACGTTGACACCATTCAGCCTGCTGCTGGGTGACCACAGGCTGGGCCGCCCTGCTTGGTCATACAGGATCCGGAGGGTGAACTTGCGGTGGTCATCATAGATCTTCTCTGTGCGGGTCACGCGGTCGAAGTCCAGGGACAGGAGATTCCGGTTGTGAACCTGGGGAAGGGGCAGGAGGGAAGAGAGTTAATCTGGATGGGAAACTTTGGTGTGGGAGGGTCCTGAGTAGAGGCGGCAGCACAGGTCATGGGTATGACAGATAGGATCTGGGGTCCTGGCTTGGTCACCTGTCAGTTCTGTGATGCTTCCTCATCTGTAAAATGGGAATAATAATGTCAATTGCATAGGGCTATTGTGAGAATAAAGACAATGCAGGTGTTGAGCAGACAGTGCCTAGTCCTAAAGACAATCCCTATCATTTCCTAATGTGATTCTTCTAATGAGGACAGAAAGGCAGATCCTTCTTGACTCTCTCCTGAAAAGGGAGAGGCTGGGCGGGTCCAGCAAATTCATGCATGACCCCGTTTCTCATGTGCCAGGCAACATGCTGGTGTTTGGCACTGAGGAAACCAAAGCTCAGGGACATGAAGGGACATGCTCCACATCTCCTGGCTGGTGAGTGACTGTGTCTGGATGTGACTCTCATTATGACAACAGGCCGACAAAAAGATCCTCTGAGTGTATCTGTCCCTTTTAGGGGCCTTGGACCTTCCGTCCCCTCTGGGGTCGCTCCTGCCCTCCGCCACCATAGTTAGGGCTTCCTGGTTACCTTGGTCAGCTCCCAAGGGGTGGTCTTCTTCCTGGAGGGCCCTGGAGGCAATGTGTGTTTGGGTCTAGGACAGCTTCTGTGGCTGTAGGCTGCCCGGGGACAGACAGAGTCCCAGCTTTGGGACATTTTTCCCTTTGTAGGATCTCTACATGGGCTGCTAGGTCAGTACACAATTCAATTTCCCTCCAGAGTCAGGAATACAGGGCTCCCAAAAGGGTAGCAGTAAGTCAGGGTTTTTCACAGTTTAATAAGGAAATATAATTCAGAAGCTTACTTCCATATTGGGATCCACCCCGTGGGCACCGGTTGCCCCTGAAATACTGCCAGGTACTCTGAAGCTAAAACGCTGGCCCCCTCTAGCTGGGCACACTGGATGACTCTTCCATTAGTCACTGGCTAAGTCTGACAAGGAGTCAGGAAAACATAAGAGGAAAGTGGATAATGTAGGTCACATGACACAGAAGTGCTCACGTAGGCCACGGTAACGGGAGGCCCTGTAGGGTTCTGGGTGGTGAAAAAGGTTCTGTCTAGAAATTGAGGCCAAGATTCCAGCCTGTGTGCTGTGATCCACTGCTTTTCAGTGTGACCTTGGGCAAGGGCCATTCCCTCTCTGAGTCTCAGTTTCTCTCTCTGTGAAACAACCGAGCTATGATGAGGACTGAAGAAGCCTTAAGTCAACTACCTCGTGGAGTTCTGGGTGCACTGAAGGTCCTGAATTAATGATTGCAATTATTTCCATTAAGGCAGCAAATGATCACGGTCATTCTCAGAGAAAGTACAGACATGTGTGTTTCCCCCTTCTCCTTCTCTCCAAACAAATCCTCAAACCTTGAAAATAAGGATTTATAATGATGCTGAGACAACTTTAGCTGTGAATGGCCTGGTTATAATAAGGTTGCCTTCCCAGGGGTAATCAAACACAACTGCAGAGCAAAAACAGTGTGGCAGACAATTCCCATGAAAAATCGGAGGCGCTGGAGAGCGAAGCTGTGTTCTTTGCTGGGAGGGCCAAGGAAGATGTAGGGTCCACACCACCACCAACAATGGGACCCATTTAGAAACCTCTTTTGCAAGGTCCCCTGCGACTCCCCCCAAGGAGGTGCCACCCAGCCAGCTGCCCCCCTTGTCCCCAGAGGACTCCTGGTGAAGGGGAGCTAAACCTCTGTGGCAAAATTAATAAAATTGAATTAAGCAGCTCACTGGGGGAACCGCCTAATGCTTTCTGTGCTCGGCAGTGGCGGCAATGAGATTATTTTACACCTTTCTTTATTAAAAAAAGTCCCAGTTGTATAAAAAATGAGCTCCATTATGGGGCGGTGCACCCGGCTAACATTCTAATTCCACATGCCGCCACTGTGGGTGGCCATTTATTTTGGGAGGACATGGAGATGTGGCTGCCTGACTGGAGCGCCATCAATCTCAGCCTGGGAGAGGGACCAATTAGAGCCTGGGAAACTTCTGGTCCAGCTCACACCGCAGAGGGGAAACCCTAAGAGCCCTAATCACTGTCGTTCATTGAGCACCTGGGCTCTACCAGCACTGGGCTAGGAACCTGGAATAGGTTGTCTTGTTTCCACAGAGGAGGGGGAGACTCCGAGGACTTGCTTGGGGCTCCACAGCCAGGTCCAGGCAGGAATCAGACCGAGGTCAAACTTTCTGTTTAGCACACCGCCCCAGATGTGCCAGAGGGGCTCCTGGAGAATTCAGACAGGGGGCTCCGCGAGGCTGCAGGGGGTGGCAGGTCACAGAGAGCCCAGACAGCAAGGCCTTCCTCAGGGAACTAGTAGAAGCCTCCTTCCCTCATTCGATTTTTGCCAGAGTTCTTGGCCATGGAGGAAACACAGGAAGCCCAGCTTTCTGGTTTCTCGTTGTGTGACATCAGCTATGTCGGGACACGAGCTGTGCTGCCCAAGGGTGCTTCTGTGGTTTTCAGGAGTCCGGAACATCTTGCTCACCTCTGTGGTGCCCTTCAGCCCAGCAAGTGTCCGCAGAGCACCAGGGGCCGGCAAGGTGCCATGCTGAAAGCCAGCACTAGTTTCTTCACCGTCTCGCTGCCCCTCACCTTGCATTCTGAAGCTAAGGGAGAAGCAGCTGGGCAGTGAGGCCCCGCCTGGGCCGGAGGTAACTCTGCCAAACCACGCGGCGTGAGGCAGAGACCGGGCGGCTTCGGGGCATCGGCAGACTGAAAAGCACCCACATGCCAACCCACTGGTGGGGACAGCTGGCGGGGGAGGGGCCCTGTGCTCATTCAGGAGGGGATAACTGCCTGAGAAGAGCGCAGGATGTGGCTGAGGTTCCAAAGAGCTCCGAATGCGTAACAGGAATGACAAGAACGGTGGCGAGAATGTCAGGAACAACAAGGGGAGTGGGTAGGACTGACCACTTCCTGGGCGCTAGACTCTGTCCAAGGCACTTCATATACGATTTCTAATTCTCGTGGCAACTTGTAAAACTGATTTTAACCTCCCCATTTCTTGGGAGAATGAAACCGAGGCTTTGGATGAATGAAAGCACATTATGGATTTGCTCAGATTCAGTCAGAATCTAACAGAAGCTGGAGACCCAAACTCAGGCCCAACACTAAAGCTGGTAGTAAGTAAGTTACTACTTACTTCCGCAAGTAACAACTGAAGAGATATTTGAGACTTATTATGGGTGGGAGGGGTGCCTACTTGACTTCCCCCTTTCACAAAGGGCCCAGGAAAAGTTTCTCCCTTAGGGCCAGTTTCAAGACCAGAACCCTGTTCTCTGGCTTGATCCTCATTCTTTCATCCTTTTTCTCCACCACCCCCCACGGAACCCTCCCCCCACCCACGTCCAGCCTCCCCACCCCAGCGACCTCCAGAGCTCCAGAGGCTGAGGCCCCACCCTACCGCCCAACCTGCCCCGGGGCTTGCTCACCCGCAGCCGGCGCCCGAACACCGTGACCTGGCCCCGAGCCTGCTCCTTGCGCTGCCGCCACTCCACCAGGTTCAGACCGTTGTCAATGGGCAGTGTGACGTTCCTCTTGCCCACGGTGGGGTTGACGGTGCCCGCCAGCAGGTGGGGCTCGGTCTGCAGTGCCACCTCCATGCCGTTGGCCAGCAGAAGCCGCAGGGAGCCATCGGCCCCGATGTAGTAGCTGTTCCGTACCTGGTCTGAGGGAGAGGAGAGGGACCGGCTCTGCTCAGAAGTGCTGAGGGTGGAGGGGGCTGGGGGTGTGTGCACCAGTGCATTGGTATGTTATTAAGTGCGCTTATTTTTCTAATAATGGAAACAGAACATTATCAGTGAAGAAAACTAGGAAATAGAAGGAGATGGTCCTGGGGCACCTCGGGGCTCAGTGGGTTAAGCCTCTGCCTTCGGCTCAGATCATGATCTCAGGGTCCTGGGATCGAGCCCCACATCCCGCTCTCTGCTCAGCAGGGAGCCTGCTTCCTCCTCTCTCTCTGCCTGCCTCTCTGCCTACTTGTGATCTCTCTCTGTCAAATAAATAAATAAAAATCTTAAAAAAAAAAAAAAAGAAGGAGATGGTCCATGATCTTATTACCCAAAGAAAGCCACTGTAAATATCTTGTCTATTTCTAGGCTTCAGGATATTTCTGAATACCTTGATAGCCCAAAGTAATTCGTATGGTTTTTCACTGATCATGGTATTATACTGTTGAATATTTCTCCTAAATGTTTCTCTTAAAGACTGCATAATATTCCATCATATGGAAATACCATAATTTATCTAACCAACTCTCAAGGAGATAATGTTTCATAATTACAAAGTTAACACTGCAAATAAACATACTGTAAACATTGTGTTAAGTGGGAGAAGTTGGACACAAAAGACCACATGATGTATCAATGAGTCTTTACATGAAATGTCCAGAACAGGCCAATTCAGAGAGGCAGAAAGTAGATCAGTTAGGGAAAGGTAGAATGGGGAGTGACCGCTTATGGGTATGAGCTTTCTTTTTGGGACTGATAAAAATTTTTCAGAATCAGATAGCATTAATAATTGCACAACTTTGTAAATATACTAACCCCCCCTGAGTTGTATATTTTAAAAGGGTAAATTGTATATTTTAAATTTTTTTTAAAGAGTGAATGTTACTATGTGAATTACATCTCTATTAAAAATATACTTTTTTGGATAAATCATTGTCTTTGTTTTGGGTTAAGTTACTAGAACAAAGGGTTGAACATTTTTAAGGTTCTTAATATACACCAGGGTAACAATATTCTTTATAACAAGGTGAGATATAACTCCAATAGTCAACTGACAGAATGTCAAACATATGCATGTTTTAAGTCATTGCCATATATATATGTGTGTGTGTATATATATATATCTCAACAATTTAAAAATAAATCTGATTTTGAAATTTTAAGCCTGATTAAAACATTTAAAATTAGGATCTTTCGCTAAAAGAAACTTCTAGAGAAGAGTAAATTTCAGCTGTAAAAAGCACACAATTCTTTTCTAAAAATGGAAATATCTCCAAATTTGTGCTACAGTCAGTTTTCTGCCTCTTGCCCTTCCTCAGCTGGTGCTTCTGCCTGCACCTGCCCCTCTTCCATAAACATCAGCCTGAGTCCTCGCTTCGAGGCTCTGCTTCATTTTCATTTCTCCCCAGTAGGTTCCCCGGTTCCTTGGTCGGAACGAACACCTCCTCTTCCTTTAGCCCCTTACAGGTCCCATTAGCGGTCCTGCAGTTGAGGGGGTGCAGGGCTTACCATTCTGGTAATGAAGGCATTCTTAAATACCTAAGTGTCCGCTGTGAGAGGGGACAAGTGCCCAGAGATGGAAAGCATGGCTTCCAGAGCCGGGCTATCAGGGTTCAGGTCCCAGCCCTGCCACTCTCTTGGGCAAATTCCTTAACCTGGCATCCCTCTGGTTCTTCATCTGTACCTTGGCGATAATAGCTGTACTCTTATCTCATAAGATTAAGCGGGATAATGACAATGAAGAGCTGAGAGTAGAACTTGGCATGTAGTGAGTATGACATAAATGTAGCTATTACTAGTTTTATGTGCCTGGCCCTGTACTAGTCACTGTCATGTGTATCTCTTGTCCTCTCCCCTCTATCTCCATTGTCCCATTTCACAGATCTGTCATAGTGAACTTCTCTAGTACTGATCATGGGATTTTAAGAGCTCCCCATGTCTTTTAGATCAGTGGTTAAGAGAACGGGTTCTAGAATCTCTTTGTATTAGTCCAAATACCCTAGCCATCATGTGTCCTTGGACAAGCCACTTAAACTCTCAGTGACTTCCTGTCTTCATTTGGAAAATGGAGATGTTCATAATACCTTGGAGGGCTATGACAAGATGACACAGGACTATGAATGTAAAACACTAAAAATCTGCTTTATACTTAATAAGTGTTCTAAAATGTTAGCTATCACTGTTATTATTGTATATGCTCAGTTAACAGTTGCTGGATTGAACTAGAGATGTTACCAGCTACGTTAAATTAAAAAAAAAGGGGGGGGGTAGTTTTGTAGGAAACCCTCGCCAAGTCTTCCCAGCACCAGATCAGGCCCTTCCTCTGCCATTCCCTTCCCCTCTCCATCCCTCACCCGTTCTTTCTCTCTCTCACACACAGAATCCTAAGATCTGCCTTAAACTTGCTATGCATTATTCACTGGCAATCTGTATTTTACTTCCTTCGAACGGTGGAAAAGCCTGTGTCAATTTATCTTTTAAAGCTGCTTTTTGCTGAATGCACACACGTCCATTAATGGTGACTCTGGATGCAATGGTATCTTATAGAGGCCCATCTCAAATGATCCCCATTTAATGTGAGCTGTGACTCCCCAAGCCTGCCCCTCATTAGCAGCTGCTTCTTATTTCTTCCCAGGCCAGACGTAAGATGAAGCTGAAAGAGCTTTTCCGGAAGACTCTACCAAGGCGGCTGCCAAATGTGGCATCTAAGCCTGGCATGAAAGAAGGAAAGGGAGTGTGGCAGAGGAACCAAAGAGGAAACACAGGTACCGTGCTTCCCGGATTCAGGGAGGCATTCCTCCTTTCCCTACTTTGATGTTTCTGAAATTGGAAAGTGTCTGAAGTCCTTGTATGAATTTTGAGCAGCGAGTCTCCCCCTCCTCTCCAAGCTGAAAAGTTGCTATTAAATTTTGACAGTACATTTTAAAAGTGAGGAAATGCAGTATTTTCGAATTTAAAAAAAGTTGCCTGAATGTAAGAAAGACTGAGGTAACTTCTGAGAAAAGTGCCGCACGCCAGCTCAGAGGTGTGGAGGGGGTAAGACAGTTCTTAACCCCAGGGCAGGATAAGGTGTCTGAGCCATCAGGGGCCCTGCTGTCCTTGGCCAGGCAGAACCTGACTGGCTTGGAATTGGCACCTTTCCTTGGCGATAACCCAGTCAGAGCATAAACACCTGTAGTGTGTCCCAACCCATTGCCACAGCTGCTGGTGGGGAAGGAACCGCAGGGTATCGTTTCTCTTTCTTTGACTGAGAATGGCTATTGTTCTTTGAGCTTCTTTACAGGCACGGGATTACATTTGTGAGTAAAAACAGTTGTGAATATACACAGTTATTTTCCTAAGGTAAACAAAAGTGCCAGTTATTAGGTAAGAAGTTCATTAATCCAACAAACACTTAGTAATACTACGGGCCTGGCCCGTCGTGGTCACTCTATGTACGGTGTGTCAAGAGATGGTCTGAGCAACGTGTATGAGGCACGTGTCGCAATTCTGCCCCATTTCCCAGGCCCAGAACCTGAGGCTCAGAGAAGAGTCAGTCCACCCAAGTCACACAGGGAGGAGCGGCACAGCAGGCCTGGGGGCCCCGGCCTGTCTACTACAGAGCTCCTGCTCCTTGCCTTGCCTCACACCATTCCACGTGGCCTTGACCTGCTTTCGTTTCCTCGAGGAGAAAACTGATGGTCCCCGTGATGTGGTGGCTGAGTCAGGACTAGAATTTGTGCCCCTGAATCCTAGCCCACGGCTCTTTTACTACTTATGTCAAAGCCGTTGTGAGTACCAAAAGCCATCAGGAGGGTGGGGGAAAAAGAAACCAAGTGAGGCTTTCTCTAGTGATAGCTTCCCCCCGGCCCCATGCTTACTAGAGCCAATAAAGCCGCAAGCTCCACTCTGGGTCACCATGTCCCATGAGGACAATTGAGGCAGATGGTTAGTTCACAGCAAGTTTTTATTCCTGTGATTTACCTAAAGCTAAAAGGTCAGCTCATACCAGGGATTATCTGATGTGTGCAGGAAGGAAGGGTCTCTTTCTACAGAATCTTAGGGAAGGCTCAAACTGTGCTCGCCTGAGCTTCTGGAGGGATTTCTCCATCCCCAGATCCCTTTCATGATTAAGCGTCATTATTACTGTCCTTCGTCCTCGTCCACCCCAGGGTGAGAGTGGGAACCATTAGAATGGTGGAACAGTGAGGTCACCTGGATGGGCAGCTGGTGCACTCTCTACCCTTGGTTCTGATGATAATGAGGTAAGACAATGGACTATCACTCTGAAGTTTCTGGGAGAGAATGTACAGGACTCGGGCTGGTGGGTTTTGCACATTAGATGGCAGCGCAGAGAGAAGCCAGTTGTATTGCTCTCCTGTTCTTGGGCAGCTCTAGTAGCATTTTATTTCTTACATTATTCTCTTCCAAAGGGGTCCCTTCACCCCTGTGTCTCGAAGTTCCCATGCTCCCCATCCGGCTTACCTTGCAGGAGTGTATAGAAGGCACCGGAGGCAGACAGGTTGGTGGTTATGGTGATATCATCCTTGCTGGAAGTCTCTACCTGGACATGCACCGAGCTGTCTGTATCACTTTGGAAACTGCTCACCTGGCCAGTAGGGAAGGTCACATTGGTCAGGCGACCAAAGCTGTCGTACCTGAAAACCAAGGCGGGGTGGCTCTGAGTGACAGAAACATAATGGTGCTATTGCTGGAACCTGGCATGCTCTACCCTGTGCCTCAGTTTGGTGTGTTCCGCTTTCCTTTCTGGTTAGATACATTGCCGTGAGTCCTCCATCTCCTTGCACATGGTTTTTTTTTAATTTTTAAAATTTATTTGACAGACAGAGATCACAAGCAGGCAGAGAGGCAGGCAGGGGTGGGGGGAAGCAGGCTCCCTGCTAAGCAGAGAGCCCCAATGTGGGGCTCGATCCCAGGACCCTGGAATCATGACCTGAGCCAAAGGCAGAGGCTTTAACCCACTGAGCCACCCGGGTGCCCCATCACATGGTTTTCTTGAGAAGTGACTCCACTGGCTGATATCTGACTACAGGCAAATGACTTACCTCTCTGAATCTTTGCTAATTCCATGAAGTGGAGACAATGACCCTGGCCCTGCCTGCAGGGCAGGGTTACTGTGGAGGAACATGTCGGGGTGGCCTGTGGCTACAAATAGCCACCCATGCGGGGTGAGATGACGGGGAATCTCAGAGCAGGGGAACTCCCAGAGGGGAGGGGGCCAAACTTGATTCTTGAACCCCCTCTCAAAACCCTAACTGTTGGTGATACAGGTTGTTCCTGAACAACAGAAGAGATGGGGCTTCTGGGGCGCCTGGGTGGCTCAGTGGGTTAAAGCCTCTGCCTTCGGCTCAGGTCATGATCTCAGGGTCCTGGGATCGAGCCCCGCATCGGGCTTTCTGCTCAGCAGGGAGTCTGCTCCCCCCACCCCACAGCCCCGTCTGCCTCTCTGCCTACTTGTGATCTCTGTCAAATAAATAAACAAAATCTTAAAAAAGAAAAGAAAAGAAAAGAGAGAGAGAGAGAGAGAGAGAGAGATGAGGCTTCCTACGAAGCTACAGAGCCTGGGGAAAGGGGGCTCTGAATCCAAACCAGGATCTTGCCACCATATAAGGAGGCTAAACAGATGGGCTCTTGCAACCCCTTCCCATCTCGATTTCACAGCCAGGGCCAAGCAGTTGTGTATCTGCCGTTGTCATAGCTCACAGTTCTGCTCTGGCGTGGGCTTTCTGAAGCATGACAATTGAATCTTAATTCTCTTTTCCATTCCTGGGAATAATAAAAGAAATGCCTACCATTACCAAACACCTACCACGCTACAGCACAGCGCTTCTCAGACCTTTCGCTTACTCCTTGCAACTTACTTAAAAGGTATAAATGATCTCCTTTCTGGAGGAGGCTCAAAAAAGCAAAGTCACCTGCTCAAGGTCCCACAACGGATAAGTGTGGTGGAGTCAAAATTCAAACTGATCTCCTTCCAAGCTGCCCCTTGCTTCTCTGCCCTTACCCAGCATTTCCGAGCTGTCCATTTGCAAGTGTCTGTTGCGTGGGTTCTCCGTGCGGCCAAGTGGGCGGGAGGTGGCAGGGAATAATAGGCTGTTAATACTTCAGTTATAATTTTTAATTGTGGCAGGCTGAAGTGTAAAAAGGCAGGTTTAATATCCCTTTTGCCCTTGTGTGTGAATGGGAAAAACGGTCTTCGTCCAGATGTATTTCTGACTTTGGCTTATGCTCAAGGCTGGCACACGGCTTCCATGGTAGGTCTTCCCCATGGATTCCAGGTCTCCCTACTGGACATTTCCCCCCTGCTTTGCCCCTGGGACCTGAGGGATTTAATGATGGTGAAATGAAAGGCCCGAGTGTTTAGTGCTGTCCTGGCTCTTCCTCTGATCCTTCAGCTGCGCCTGGTTTCCCACTGTGACCCTTGAGGGCTGCAGCGTCTTCGGGTTCAGGCAAGACTTGGGAGGTGAGACTAGGCAGGCCTTTGCTGAGCAATTTTCTGCCCAAGGTCAGCTGTGGGTGCTGCATGGATTCTGCCTCCTGCCAACTCTTTCTGTCCCTGTGCCTGGCACTAACACAGTCTGTCACAAATGGGGTGCTGGTTAAAGGTCTTTTGAATGAGTCCTGGACCCAAGACCAACTCTGGGATCAGTTGAATCTCTCTGTTGCTAGGGTCTGAGGCAGTGGGACGGAAGCCCTTTCCAACATGGCAAGCAGCACAGGAATCTCTAATACCTACCCTGGGCTTGGGCTTGGCAGGGTAGCGGTGTGGGCTCTATCAATCCTTCCGGCTCTCCTATAGGCACCTTAGGGGCTGTGGAAACCTGCTTCTTATCATAATTTCTCATCTTTCTTCCTTAGCACTGAGTCATGTTGTAAGAAATCGTCAGTCTGGCATCGGGGAGGGTAACGATGTGGCTTAAAACCCAGACCGGAGGGTCCAGGGTGCCCCTCAGAGGGGGGAAGAGGGTGATTCTGAAAGACTGCTGCTAGGAAGGAGGCGAGTCTTGTGATAAAGATCTGGAAGGTTTGTCCTAAAGTATCTTTGTCCCAGAGATGCTCTCAGAGCTCTGCTCCCTTTAACTCTTGTGGAGGGGGTGTTCTTTTCAACTCTTTATGGAAGGTGGAAATTTGAATAGGAAGGAATTTCACAAAAATGTTTAGAGTGGTTATCTCTGGGAGGCAGAATTACAAGGGATATTTTATATTCCCAAGATTTAAAGATAATGCATATGGATTATTTTCATAATCAGAAAAGTGACCTCAACCCAAATAATGCCACATATAGAGAGCTCATGAACATGGTCATCTTGGGAAAGAGGCCCTTTTAAATTACTGGCATTTATGGAGTCCCTGGGTGGCTCAGTTGGTTAAGCGTTCAACTCTTGATTTCGGCTCAGGTCATGATTTCAGGGATGTGAGAAGGACCTCTGTGCTCAGTGGGGAGTCTGCTTAAGATTTCCTCACTCGTTTGCCCCCCCCCCCACTTGGCTCACAGGTGCTTGCCCCCCCCACAAAGAAAAAATAAATTACTGGCATTTCTGGAGGGATCTCCTTATAGGACATCTACCAACATCAATCTCCAGGGCTTTTCAGTAAATATTATTAGGGCACCCCAAACTTCTGAGCCCCAAATCAAGATCCCCAAACCGGCTCTATCATGGTCATCTTAGCTCTATCTGTGGTCCAAGAGCAGGCTGAGTCCTGTCAGATCCTGAGTCATCTTAGTTCAGCAGGAAGATCAATTCCAGTTCAACAGTTTCACAGGATGGGTATGTGCTGTTCTAGTCTGGTCCTCTGAACACCTGTTACCCACGCACATAGTCTTTACTGAGACTACTTACTTAGACTGTGTAATTTCCTGACCTAACCAGATACAAAGGATTTTATTATGCCAAGCAAGGTACTTAAAAAGGAGTCTTAGAGTCTTACCAATAAGAATCGATAGGGTGACCACACATTAGGGGACAGATGTCACTTCAGGAGTATTTTACTGTGGCCTTGTTCAAATGCCACCTTGTAAAGCCTTCTCTGGTCTCTCTCTTGTCCCTTCTCCCGGTGATACCCTGGCCCAGCTGCCTTACAGAATTGGTCCCCTGCTCATGTACAAGCTGTCACCTGCTCCGGCCTGGGAGTGCTTGAGTGAGGACAGGACTGCGGACTCAGACAGGCTGGGAATCTGGAGTCTACCACCTGCCAGCAATGGAGCCCTGGAGGACTGGCTCTCAGTTCATCTCTTCTTCCCCAGCCCTGGGACTGGCAGAGAGAAGGCGAGCAGGGAATGCCACTTGAGCAAAGGAACGAATTTGCGATTGGTTCTGCGAGGCCCCTCTGCTGCTCTGTTGGAAAGGGGAGACAATGAGTCATTCAAACACTATCCCCTGTAGGACTTGACAGAGGCCTGACCCACAGCAGGTACATGGTAAATATCTGCTGAAGGCCCAAATACAGAAACAACTAGATGATCCTTCACCAGTCTCCGTTGGCGTTTCCCCAGAGCTTTGGTCTCCAAGACAGAAGAGCCTTTGCATAAAGGGAGACAATTGTAATTATTATTGAAGGTGGCCTGTGATACATAATTAAATTGAGCTTGAAGAAGATACAATGAAAAGCCTCATGCTTTCAAGATCTGTTTTTCATTTTATACGTGATGGCCAAGAAACAGTAATTTCCACTCCTCACATTTTCCATTAGAGGGACTGAATGTCTTAATTAAATGAACATCGAATAGAACAGCCAATTTATAGAATTTTCTTGCCTCTTATTTGTTCATTTCAGCGCCTTCCAGAGCTTGGGAAACACCACTGGATCTCTCTGCAGCCTGATCCCTACCTGTGATACCCATCAGAATACTGCTGCTGCTTCCTCTGGGGGGAGGAACTGGGGCTGCCCATCCTGGGGGCCTTGAACACCTGGGACCCCCTGTCCTCTCTGTGGAGTCCTTTCTCTTCCTGCTACAGAGCTGCTGAGAGAAAGAAGGCAGGTGCCACACAACAAGGACAGTTTGTGGCACTCTCTGGATTCCAAGTGGCCCTATGAATCTGGAGTCTACCAACTAATGACTTAGTTGTGTCTGTTTTGGCTTTACTTGAAGTACTGACAAATTTCTTTCTTTCTAACCAAGAGGAAGGAATACATATGGCAAAGTCCTTGGAGCCAGACGTTCTAGGCTTTGACTGTAGGCTCTTCCTCTGCCAGCACTGCAACCTTAGAGGATGGGCACTCAGTTCTGTTTTCCCACGAACCATCAACCCCATCACATCACAAATGATATTTTAGGCAGGTTGTATGCCACGACCTCTGGGAGCCTCTGTTTTGTTCTCTATAAAATGAAGATTATAACACCTATCTTAGAAAGATACGGTGAAGTTCAAACAAGATAACCTATTTAAAGTGAAATGCATTTTTTTTTTTTTTTTAACCAGGGCCTGCAGGATCCCATGAAACTGCCTTCCCTAGAATGTCAACTCCCTGACTGAAGGGCCTTTGGTCACTGGTGCATCCCAGAACTCAGAAGAGTGCTTGGCATACAGTAGATGCTCAATAATGTGAATGAAAATCATCTGAAAGACCTGCTCCTTCCTGCCTCTCTTTCCAATTTCACTTTGAGCCCGACCTCTCCATCCTCCTGTGTTCTGCTACATCCGTTTCTATTCCCCAAACATGCCAAGCTCAAGCCGGGCTCGGGGTGCTCACATGTAACTGTTCTTTTGACTGAGAATGCTCTTGCCTCCAATCCTGGTGTGGCTAGCTGCTTTCATTACTCATATTTCAGTTCAAATGTCATCACTTCAGTGAGGCCTTCCCTGAAATAGATAGGTCCTCCCATCTGATTTTATTGTCTTCATTGCATGTATTATCTTATTTACACGTTTATTGGTCTGTTATCTGTCTCTTCCCACTATAATATAAGCTCCATGAGGACAGAGACCTTGTCTGTGTTCTCATGCCTAGAAGAGTACCAGAACATAAAAGGTACTCAGTATGTATTTCTTAGATTAATGAATAAGCAAATAAACAGTAGGTATTATTATTGTTTTTTCAAGACGTGGATTGAGAAAAACTACAAATTTCACCCCTTTCACCTCCCCTCTTCTGTGTGAGGAAGGGGAAGTTCATGAATATCCATATCCTTTTAGGTACTGAGCACCAGTCTCATCACTGTCTTTTGAGGTGGGCATTACTGTTGTCATTTCACAACTGGTGAAGCTGAGGCTCAGAAAGGATATGTAACTTGCCTAAGATCACACGGCTGGTTGAGGAATGTAGTCTCAAAGTCAAGTCTGTCTGACCTTAAAGTCTGTGTGCTTTCATCAGGCTTCCCCTAAGAAGCTTTCAGGGAAAAACCTTTGTGTTCTTCACTATGTAAAAGAAAAAATTGTTTGGAAATCTCAGATGGGTCAAGAGAACTGATAGTTTTCTCTTCGAGATGCTTTGCTTTGATACCACGGCAACTGACTTTGTAGTGATGCCAACCTCCATCTGGGAGGTACGATCAAGATAGCCAGATGACTGGCTTTTCACTATTTCTTTCCATGGATTTTTCTTCACTCCATTTTCCTGGAGCATCTTTGGAGAATGGGGAATGAAAACACATAAAACATTCATACAGTTGCTGTGAACTTGGCTCTCAGAAGAGGATCGCTAAAGGGTATCTTCACACACATTGCAAGGCTTTCTTCTTCACACTCAACATTTCACATTTCAAGCCATACTATGTTGCAGCTGGTGAGGAAAATGCCAAATTGCTTCTCTGATACTAACTTTTGCTGATTGGGATTTTTTTTTTTTAAGTTGGAAAATAAAGATGTGATTTTTGAGTTTCATCTACGATTGTTTCAAATGCCACCATTGTCAACGAGAGGAACTGGATACTATATCCTCTGTGAATAAATAGAGGAGTCACAGCCCATGCATATGAGTAGTTGCCTTCGCCTTAGATCCCTGTAATAGATGGCATTACTACGTCATCATCTTCTCAAAAACCATACCAGAGCTGGGAAGTTTTCGGGTTCTGCACTGGAAACTTAACACCTGCTGCCTATTTCCTACAGAATCATGGGCTGCCACCCTACCACTGTAGGTTTTATCTTTTGCTGATGTTGTACTTGAAGCAGTGCATCTGGTGGAAAGGATTCAGGGACATCTGTGATTGAATCCTGGCTCTGCCACTCATGTGTACAATGTCACAGAGCCAGGCAGTGTCTGTGCTGGTTACTCTCTTTCCCCTCAGTCCCATTCTCTGCTTTTCTCTGTGCCCACAGGAGCTAAACCCCCCAGACCACAACACTCGGGCCTCCTTCTGGCTTGGTTTTGGTTGGATTCAGTCAATGGTAGACAATGGCAAGAGATGGGAGGTTGGGAGGAGAAGTTTTCCTTATTCCCTATCTCCTTTGGTGCTAAATTTCTAATGGTGGCTCTATCTGTTCATGATTGCAGTTTCTGTGAGATAGCCTTTTTTTCCTGGTTATAGCTCCCACCAGGCACTTCAGTAACAATATTCTATTCCTGCCCCACCTTGCCCTTAAGCCTCAGGGTTGGTCATGATTGTTCACTGTTTTTAGTACCTGGGTGCATCACCATTCTTTGTTGGTTCCCTTATCCCTTTCTCTACCTCTACAACATTTCTTTATGGAAAAGGTATTTTTCCTAGGTATAGAGTTCTGGGTTGACAGGGTTTTCATTTTTGTTTTTTCCCTTTCAGCATTTCTGTCTTCCAGCTTGCATGGTTTTTGATCAGAAGTCTACTGTAATTCTTCTCTTTGTTCCTCTAAAATGCCACCCCCCGCTGCTTTCAATATTTTCTCTTTTTCTTTTGTATTTTGAATATATGCCTAAGATATGTGTGTGTGTGTGTGTGTGTGTGTGTGTGTGTGTACTCTGCTTGGTGTTTTCTGAACTTTTTGGGTCTGATTTGGTATCTATCATTACTTGTGGATAATTCTTCACCATTGTTTCTTCAAACAATTTTCAAACAAGAAAATATTTCTTCTGCCTTGTTTTTTTTCTCTTCTCTTAGAATTTGAATCTAATTCTTAGAATCTGACTTATGATGGTTTGAATTATGATTTTTTGACTTCATAATGTTGCACCAGTAATATGAACTCATGAGAAACCATACTTTGAACTTTTTCTTTATAGAGGAAACGGATTTTGGTCTTTTATTTATTTATTTTTACTTTTCCATGCTTTGAATTCTGATCTTCTCCCAGACTAGTAATATGCGGTATGACTCTCATGATGCTGGGCAGTAGCAGCAAGCCATAGCTCCCAGTCAGCCACCTGAATCTTAAGTGTAAACAACCAGTACATTGACAATCATTCTGTACAACCATTCTGACAACCATTCACTTTCAGTACAGTATTTGATAACTTACATGAGATATTCAACACTTTATTACCAAACAGGCTTTGTATTAGATGCTTTTGCCCAACTGTAGGCTAATATAAGAGTTCTAAGCACATGAAAGTTAGGCTGGGCTAAGGATATTTGGTATATAAGATGCATTTTTGACTTAGAGTATTTTCAACTTACAATAAGTTTGTCAGGATGTAATCCCCTTGTAAGTCAAGGAAGATCTGTGCATTCATATTAAGACCAGATGATATTGCCCCCGAGATCTTGGATGCCCAGGTTTTATATTTTTTTCACTATTTTTTTTTCCTCTTTGTATTTCAGTTTGGGTAATTTCTATTGACCCACCTTCTTTCTTTAGCTGTGTCATCTACTGATAAGCCTATCAAAGGCATTCTTCATCTCTGTAACTGGTTTTCATTCTAGATTTCCATTTGATTTTTTCTTATAGTTTCCATTTCTCTGCTAAAATTTTCCATCTGATCTTTCATATTGTTCACCTTTTCCATTAGAGCTTTTAACATAATTACAGTTATTTTAAGTCCCCTAAAATAGAGTTTCAACATCTGTGTCATGTCTGAGTGTGGTTCTGATGATTCCTTTGTCTCTTTGGAGTGTGCTGCCTTTTATACCCTTTTTGTATGTTCAGTTGAACGTCTTCTGTAGCTCACCAGAGAATGAGGTACCAGGTTTTATACATGGATATGGGCATGAGTTTCCTTCTGCTAGGATGTTAGTGAAGGGGAATGAGTTAACTTATTAGGATTTGGGCTGGCTTTGAAGTCTGATGTTTCTCTGGCTAACTTTAGTGCATTGGAGGCTTTGAGTTCCTCTAGCAAGACCTTGTGTTTAGGGTGCTAAACTGGCTTGTCAGAGGAGTTTTTTCCTCAGTGTCAACTCCATCCTAAGCTTTAGGTCCCCTGTTTATGCTGGGAATAAAGGTCCATATGCTGGAAGGTCTCTTTCTAGGCTCTTGTCCCTCTTCTGCCTCTTTTGCAGTAGTATTCTGCTTTCCATTGCTGTGTTTGACTCTTCAGCTAAACAGTGTTGGCATGTGGTGAGCTAGAGAGTTCTCCATGGTTCCGAATTAGCCACAGTCTTATGTATCCGTGTGTCTCAAGAGCATGGCCTCTTCTGTCCTCCTGCCCCTCTTCCTGCTGCAGTTCTGGGCCCATTACATATCACTCTCCCCTCCTAACAGAGGTTAAATTCTTTTTCTCCTCCCTTATTCAGTGGCAGTGGATCTCCACCAGTGCCTAAGGAGGGCAGTGTAGTTGCCCTTCTCTCCACAGATTAAAGCTTTTTAAAAAAATTGTATTTATTTATTTGATAGAGATCACAAGAAGGGAGAGAGGCAGGCAGAGAGAGAGGGGGAAGCAGGCTCCCCACTGAGCAGACAGCCTGACTCGGGGCTCGATCCCAGGACCCTGGGATCAAGACCTGAGCCGAAGGCAGAGGCTTTAACCCACTGAGCCACCCAGGTGCCCCTGAGATTAAGGCTTTTGTTCTATGTGGGAGATAAGGTGAGTCAGGTCTGGGTGCAGCAGGCAGATACTTGTGCCCCTCCCCCAAGTCTACCACAGTAGATGTTTTCTTACATCTTTCCCTACTCTTTTCTGAGAGTACCTGGTTGGGCTGTGGAGAGAAGTTATGAAGAGGATGTGGGGTCTCCCACGCAGGTTCTGCAGCCTCTAATGGCTTCATACTCTCTTGTCAGTACACACTTAGCCTTCCTGAATTCGCCAGCCCCCCTAGCTGAATCCTTCTGACCAGCTGCATTGACCCCCAGTAAGCTAGTGCTCACATCTTGTCTCTCTCCTTGGATTTGGTTAGGTGGTTGCCCTGTGACCTTAGTGAACGAGTTTAAGGGAAACTCATGAATCTACCATTTGTGTAGCTTATTCCTACTGTAAGTCTGGGAATGATGCACTTTCTAGTTCTGATATCCTCTAGCAAAATCCCAAAGCCAAGTATCTTTATTTGAACCATTTGAGTTGAATTCTGTGTCCAGCTGGGTACACTGGTAATGCTGGAGCTGGGATTTGATACTCTTCTCACTACAGCGTGTTTTTCCTCCGTTCTTTATCTCCCTTCCCTGCATTTACATTTCACTCATAAAATATTGACTGAGCACGTACTAGGTGGCAAGCCCTGGCTTGAGACAGAGGTAAGTTAGTTAGGGTCTCACAGTATTTAGTGTGAGCAGAACTATGACAGGAGCTGTCACAGGACACCA